AGTGATATCATCACTCTAACAATAATGCCAAAACTTTATATGCTGTAATCTAGAACAAATAGTTTATTTGTGGTTTCATACTTACATGTGTCGTGCAACCTAGTGTTTATGTTACAAGCAAACGGTAGGAACATTATTTTACTTTACTCTACAATTATATGTTCGCCTTCGTGATATAATAAAAAAAAGATACTTTGAAAATACTTTTAAAATATTAGAATTAACAATGTGGGCTCAGTTTACTATAGCCTTCATTCTTCTAACTTAGACTGTTTTTTGTTTTGGACATTTCAAACTTCTTCTGGATCACCTACCGTCCATCCTCCCCCTGCAGTCTCCATATCACAGTATACAGAGATTGGGCGGTTCAGAAAATGTGGCCATATCTTGAAGATGCCATTTGTTTGGTTTACTTGATGATAGATGGCGGCACAGTCTATCGGTAAAGAAGTTCTATACCTGATTTGTGTTGCATTGGTACAGGTGGGCGCTATGAAGTGATACACGTCGTGTTTAGAACAAATAGGGCCTGGAATAGAACAGGTAGTAAAGTATAATTATAAATTTGTATAAACATTCATTCAAAACTTGAAAATGCTTACCAGTATACTAAAATCAGTGACAGTTCTTTTCATTAACGTTATCTTACATTAATACGAAAACGTTTTTTTAAAGTAATTAAATTTTAAAGGAATATATTACCTTCTAATGCAGTAATTCTTTGTTTAGCCAGATCTGTTAATTCTTCCACAGTAGACGACAGAGAATCGATAATTTCTTCCAGTGAACCAACAGTACTACAAGCAGTGTGGTGATGTACATTAGCCTGGGTTAAAAAGAAGAGAGACAAAATACATAGTAATTGAACTATATAATACATGATGTATACGTATACTGACCTGTATTCTTCTCTGAGGATTACAGTACGTACCAAGGCTTTTATTGCCGTCATACAGAGGAAACATGAAAGCTGAAGTGAATTTTTATGACGTCACTATATCTCATGATCAGAAGTTCTTGAAAACATGGATCTGGCTGATACGTGACTTTTCAC